GTCTATATCATTTCTTTCAGGGTCATTTAACATCAAATTTACCATTATTACAACTTTATAACTATTTTTATATGCTTAAACAATAATATAAACCAAAATAATATTCTTTACATGGAGAATTAGAAGGTTTAAATGAATATATCTTTCCCACATTTGATGCAGGTTTCAAAATACAAATTTTAAATTTTAATAATAGATAACCAATTAAATAGGTTTTTATTCTCTAGATTGTGCCACATGTATCCTAAAAACAGGACACCAGTATATTTCTTCTCATTGTCTTATCCAACACCATTCCATTACAGTTACCTACAGATACCTGTGTACAGCAGATATTTGTGAAAAGTAGTTATCTCTATACAGTAGATACCTGTGTATAGTACATATCTGTGTATAAAAGATGTCTGTGTATAGGAGATATCTGTGTACATTAGATACATGTACCTTAATTGGTACAGTAGATATATGTGTACAGTAGATACCTGTGTACAGTAGATATTTGTAAACAGTAGATATATGTGTACAGTAGATACCTGTGTATAGTACAAATCTGTGTATAAAAGATATCTGTGTACAGTTGATACCAGAGTACAGTAGATATCTCTGTACAGTATATATCTGCATATATTAGATATATCTGTACAGTAGATATCTGTATACAGTAGATATCTGTATCCAGTTGATACATGAGTATAGTATATATCTCTGTAAGTAGATATCTGCGTACATTAGATATTTCTGTACAGTAAATATCTGTATACAGTAGATATATGTGTACAGTTGATACCTATGTACAGTTGATACCCGAGTACAGTAGATATCTGTGTACATTTGAAACCCAAGTACAATAGATATCTGTGTAAAATTGAAACTTGTGTACAGTAGATATATCTGTACAGTACAAATCTGTATACATTAGATATTTGTGTACAGTAGATACATGTGTACAGTAGATACCTGTGTACAGTAGATAGCTGTGTACAGAAGATATCTGTATACAGTAGATACCTTAGTACAGAAGATATCTGTGTACAGTAGATACCTGTGTACAGTAGATAGCTGTATACAGTAGATACATGTGACAGTAGATACCTGTGTACAGTAGATAGCTGTGTACAGGAGATATATGTGTACAGTAGATATCCCGCTTGCTAACATCGGGGCCACAAAGAGTGATTAATATAAGTTGAAACAAGACAACTAGGCGAATTATAGTCCCCCACCGAATGTGAAATGCACAGATGATATATTTGTGCAGGAATATATGAATGTTTAACAGACCCACCGTATTCGATAAGGAATAGTGTCAGTGACCTACTTTGATATACGACTCACCGCCTCAACAAGATGAACCCATACTCCAAGCATAAAATTCCAGTGACTAGAAGTGTAGGAGATAGAGCCTGGACAAATGTTTTCTTTGATGCAGGTCAAAGGTCATAATAATACATGACACACCGCCTCACCAAGGTGAACCCATACCCCAAGTATGAAGTTCCAGTGACTAGTAGTGTAGGAGATAGAGCCCAGACAAACTTTATCTTTGATGTAGGTCAAAGGTCAAAATGTAGGTCAGAGTGACATACTTTTGATCATGACACACCGCCTCACCAAGGACAATCCATACACTAAGTATGAAGTATAAGTGACTAGTAGTGTAGGAGATAGAGCCCAGACAAATGTTTTCTTTGATGTAGGTCAAAGGTCAAAAAGTAGGTCAGAGTGACCTACTTTTTGAAACACAACACACTGCCTCACCAATTAGAACCCATACCCCAAGTATGAAGTTCCAGTGACAAGTAGTGTAGGAGATAGAGCCCAGACAAGATAGCGGAAGGACGAAAGGATGAATGGACACAACGCAAAACACATATCTGTGTATAGAAGATACATGTGAAGACACATTTGTACAGTAAAAGCCTGTGTACTGTAAATACATGTTACCTGTATATACATGTACATTTGTACAGTAAATACATGTTACCTGTAGATACATTTGTACAGTAAATACATGTAACCTGTAGATACCTTTGTACTGTAGATACATTTGTACTGTAGATACCTGTGTACAGTAGATACATGTGTATAGTAGATACATGTGTACAGTAGATACATGTGTATAGAAGATACATGTGTACAGTAGATACATGTGTATAGAAGATACATGTGTACAGTAGATACATGTGTATAGAAGATACATGTGTACAGTAGATACATGTGTATAGTAGATACATGTGTACAGTAGATACATGTGTATAGAAGATACATGTGTACAGTAGATACATGTGTATAGAAGATACATGTGTACAGTAGATACATGTGTATAGAAGATACATGTGTACAGTAGATACATGTGTATAGAAGATACATGTGTACAGTAGATACATGTGTATAGAAGATACATGTGTACAGTAGATACATGTGTATAGAAGATACATGTGTACAGTAGATACATGTGTATAGAAGATACATGTGTACAGTAGATACATGTGTATAGAAGATACATGTGAAGACACATTTGTACAGTAAAAGCCTGTGTACTTTAAATACATGTTACCTGTATATACATGTACATTTGAACAGTAAATACATGTTACCTGTAGATACATTTGTACAGTAAATACATGTAACCTGTAGATACCTTTGTACTGTAGATACATTTGTACTGTAGATACCTGTGTACTGTAGATACCTGTGTACAGTAGATACCTGCATACTGTAAATACCTGTATACTGTAGATACATGTGTATAGTAGATACATGTATACTGTAGATACATGTGTACAGTAAAAGCCAGCGTACTGTATATACCTGTATACTGTATACAGATGTACAGTAGATATCTGAGTACAGGAAATACCTGTGTATTTGTGTACAGTAAATACCAGTGTAGTGTGTACAGTAGATAGCTGTGTACAGAAAATACCTGTATATTGTGTACAGTAAATATCAGTGTAGTGTGTTCAGTAGATATCTGATTACAGGAAATACCTGTGTATTGTCTACTGTAGATATGTGTATAGTGTGTACAGTAGACATCTGTGTACAGGAAATACCTGTATAGTGTGTACAGTAGATAGATGTGTACAGGAATTACCTGTGTATTGTGTACAGTAAATACCAGTGTAGTGTGTACAGTAGATATTTGTGTACAGAAAATAACTGTGTATTGTGTACAGTAGATATTTGTATAGTGTGTACAGTAGATACCAGTGTAGTATGTACAGTAGATATATGTATAGTGCGTACAGTATATATCTGTGTACAGGAAATACCTGTGTATTGTGTACAGTAGATATCTGAGTACAGGAAATACCTATGTATTGTGTACAGTAAATACCAGTGTAGTATGTACAGTAGATATCTGTATAGTGTATACAGTAGATATCTGTGTACAGGAAATACCTGTATAGTGTATACAGTAGATAGATGTGTACAGGAAATACCAGTGTAGTGTGTACAGTAAATACCAGTGTAGTGTGTACAGTAGATATCTGTATAGTGTGTACAGTAGATATCTGTGTACAGGAAATACCAGTGTAGTGTGTACAGTAGATAGCTGTGTACTGGAAATACCTGCGTATTGTGTACAGTAGATATCCGAGTACCGGAAATACCTGTGTATTGTGTACAATAAATACCAGTGTAGTGTGTACAGTAGATAGCTAAGTACAGGAAATACCTGTGTATTGTGTACAGTAAATACCTGTGTATTGTGTACAGTAGATATGTGTATAGTGTGTACAGTAGATATCTGTGTATAGGAAATACCTGTATAGTGTGTACAGTAGATAGCTGTGTACAGGAAATACCTGTGTATTGTGTACAGTAGATATCTGAGTACAGGAATTACCTGTGTATTGTGTACAGTAAATACCAATGTAGTGTGTACAGTTGATATTTGTGTACTGTACAGGAAATACCTGTGTATTCTGTACAGTAGATATCTGTGTACAGGAAATACCTGTATATTGTGTACAGTAGATATCTGAGTACAGGAAATACCTGTGCATTGTGTACAGTAAATACCAGTGTAGTGTGTACAGTAGATATTTGTGTACAGAAAATAACTGTGTATTGTGTACAGTAGATATCTATACAGTGTGTACAGTAGATATCTGTGTACAGTAAAATACCTGTATAGTGTGTACAGTAGATATCTGTGTACAGGAAATACCTGTATAGTGTGTACAGTAGATACCTAAATACCTGTGTAGTGTGTACAGTAGATATATGTGTACAGTAAAATACCTGTATATTGTGTACAGTAGATAGCTGTGTACAGTAATTACCTGTAGTGTGTACAGTAGATATTTGTACTGTAAATACCTAAATACCTGTGTAGTGTGTACAGTGGATACCTACAGTACATGTGTATTTTCCCCAAAAGGTAAGTTTTAATTGTCATTTTATAGTTATAGATAAAATGCATTTGTCCTGCAATTAGAACTAGCCCAGCAGATTTTCAGGAACTTTCAACTGATAAGAAATTGTTATATCCTTATATTTTCAAAACGTAAAATGTTTAAAAGATACACTTATCCCAAAACCCTGCACCACAGGACACAGAATCTGGTGAGAGCAGAAATTGTATTATTGATATAAAACTCAGAGATTACGGAATGATAAAGCAGGCTTAGCAAAGATACATAATGTAAATGTGGAGAGGTAAGAAAATGAAACATGTGTTTTGCACGGCAAGGTAACGTTACGTTAATTGTTGCTGGACTCTTCAGAACCTAACGAGTCGAAATGCAGAAATTATGACAGCTTTTAGTTTCCCTGGCCAGTTATGTTTAAGACAATCTGCAATATACATTTTACCTGGTTTTTAGCCTAAAGTTGGACTGTAAAGAATATCTGCCATTTAACGATCAATACATATATATGTGGTGTTGGACAGTGTAAACACATGTGGCAGCGCCAATGCGGGGGAGGTCACACGCGCCTAACATAGGAGGGTTATAAAAAAATAGGTCAAGTTATATTTATGTACTCACAATAAGTTCGCTTCCTCAGTTCCACTACCTCCTCCTGTTTCAGCTTACTATTCCTTTTCCCCATGACTGGGACGGTTAAATGTCACCATTCCAAAATCCTGGGGGAAAAACACAAGTCGTCGTCCAAACTAATTCCGTTGTCAAAATTGTGTGTCGTCTGCTTCTAAGGATCCTAGAAGTTTTCTTGTTAACGAAATATAAATTTCCAATGATGATTGTTGCTACATAGTAACGGTACAGAGCGTGGATGCTCCCAAAATAACGAGGCTTGGAGAAACCCGATCTCTACACTTCTTACTTCCACAAAATGATGGCGCACACACAGCGATCGAGAGGGCTGGGGTAAAGAGCAGACGATGTATGTTCAGGACATAGTGCTGTGGCTTTGCATCTGGGAGCGCGCCAAGAGGTGCGATTAGGGCCACACGAGCTCTTACACGTACATATATTGCAGCTAGAGGTGCAGACAGGAAAACGCTTACAGCACAGCTTTTCAATATAATTCCGTGCTAAAGAAATGTTATTGGCGAGCATGCATTTTAGGCACCAGTGAACATAAAAAAGTGAAAGTATTTTGTTTACATGCATCAAAATCTTTCCCGCACTGCTTTATTGATTTTCGTAATACATGTGGGAATTTTGTCGCTTTGCGAATCGAATCGTCTGTTCAGACAGACAACACATGTGATTGGGAGGCAGCAATTCATAATGTATTCGTATAACATAAACCTTTTACGAAAAAAAGTAATACATCGTAATATATTCAACATTGTATCATATTGTTTGCAACAATTACACTACATTGACTTGTATCTAGAACCTTGAAGTACAGTACGTACGTGACGTCAAAATGATGACGTCACAAGCGCTATTGCATTTCGTGATCCGTTGTAAAAGTCTCATAACTTTAAAAATACATAGCAGAGCAACAGAGCCAAGCAAAGACGACAGAATCATTCAGGCGAACGGAAGGACATGATGGGGAACACTCCATACTCCCATTTCATCGCAGGGAGAAAAGAATTTCTATAGTTGGAAGGTGGTTAATGATATGCCAATTGTTACTCTAAGGGTTGCAACCACAACCTTACTAACAAGATCCAATTATTTGCGATACAAAGGTCATTAGTTATACTGAGTGCAACAAAAACTTATTTTATTAACTTATCACAAAAGAGGGAAAATGCACGGCCAGAGAGGTATTCGAACCCGTGACCTCCAAACTCTTGCCGGACGCTCTAGCCAGTTGAGGTAACAGACTTGGACGCTGTCCGTTACACGACTGAAAAAATAGGGTAGGTTGGAAAGGGTTTATTTTTATTTTGTTTATTTATTTATCTTTTTTCTGAGGTTGGGGAGCATTTAAGAAATTACAAAAAGTACCAAACAGTTATTCAGACCAATTGTATTCATTTTTCAGTATATTTTCAGGTCTTTTAAATATGGGACTCGGATAAGAGTTTGATACCTGCCTATGAAATAGAGAGGTGTCATAAAGACGCCTAAGATTTTCGGCACGTTCCAACGGGACGCTTACGTGCATTTGAGTGAGATAAAATTGCTATGGTCGGTCGGGGAACCTGAAACATGCATATTTAATTGCCACACTGCCGTAATATGTAGCGAATACACTCGTCAAATTTTTAAGTGACACCTTGTGAAATACATCTCCATGTGATGCAAGAATCAAAACATTAGAAATAACGCCATGACGCCACGTCGCATTGAACACAAATATAATTGTCACGTCTTAGGAACATCAACCCCAGGGCCCGTATTCATGAAACCGTTCTCATGCTCAAGCATGATTTTTTTGCTCAAGCCTTATTTCCTGTTTCCGTTAAGAACTAATAATAAAATCTTGTTTCGTCAATGATGTTGATAAAGTTGTGATTATTTTTTTCTTTTCGATAATCTTTTTTAATGAATTTCATCAAATTTACATCAATCTCAGCCAAGACGTATGTAATCTGAAATCTAAAGTTGTGAAATGAATAAGTCTTAAAACGGAATTAACTTGAATCCAATGTCACAACAAACTTGTCTATAGTACATCAGAATGTTACCACAATTATCTGCATACGTTATTATCAACTGGGGCGGCTTATTTCTAATTGAAAGATAAACGTGAGGATTTCAATATTCTGCCCGTAAACGTACTCTTTCTTTACAGCAGCACCCCTGTTCCCTCCACCCACGAAATTCACACGCTTGCCCAAATCGGGACAGAACCCAAAACGGGACACTTATGGGAAAACGGCACAAGAAACAGTCATTCAATGCAAAGGAGTACTTTTATGTATAGGGTTTTTATTTGATAATACATCATGACAATTTAATTTTATGTCAGCTTTATTGGCTGCTGATTATCGTTACATGGACAATTGAAAAGTAAGAATAATGACCAAAACAAAACTTTCTAGATTTCCGTGTCGTTCGAGGCTATTTATTTGGATATCGTTTTCAAAATTTTATCAAAACTTCTGCTCGTTTGAGAAGACATTTGATAATAACCCTGTTTGACTCTTAAATATTTTTAATATGTCTTATTTTCTGCTGACATTGATCGTTTATCCCCAAATATTACCCAAAATACCGAAGTGTCCCTTTCAGGTTATATTACAGTCATGCCGGTTCAAGGGCCTACGCGTACGCAGAGACATATGTAGTATATACGTCTCTGGCGTACGTATAACCCTGTTGGTATTTCGTGTTATATTTATAAAACCACGCGCTCTAAATATCAATTTGTAATAGAACCGAAAAGTGGATAGGATCTTTTTATGAAAAATGAACAAACATTTTTGGAACTAATAGTATGGTATAAAGAACATTGATATTTATATATTGTCTAAAAGGTGTCCCGATTTGGGTACAGTGACGTTACACTTATACGTCTCTGGGATGATGATATGAAGACTGGACAGATTGTATGGCTGTCATCATGATCTCATTGGAAAATATTGTATTCCCTTGTTCGATATGAATATCAGCGTCGGTTTTTTTTATTATGTCCACCCACAGGGGCACGTTACAAATGTCTGAAATACACACATATGCTCTACTGATATGGGTCACACCACACATAAACATATGTGGATACTGATATGGGTCACACCACACATAAACATATGGTTATACTGATATGGGTTCCAACACACATAAACATATGTTTATGTTTGTTGTGACCCATATCAGTAGAGCATATGTGTGTATTTCAGACATTTGTAACGTGCCCCTGTGGTCCACCGGCTTAGTGTTTTGTGGTTTCCTTGTCGCTATCCCGGTTCTCATTTTGAGGGCACGTGTTTACTGGGTTTAACCTATATATTTCAATAGCGGGTGATGTCGATGTTCACGAGTACTTCCAGAATATTTGGTCTTATTTTTGGTACTTTTTTACCCTATAATTTATTCGATCTTGAGTTAAAAGTAAGCTTTCTGGTACATAGTAATGCATTGTGTTATACAGACATTGCATTTAATACTGACTAACATTGTAGTACACTATCTTACACATTGTTATACCGTTAGCTTTGTAATACATTCTTGAACTAACAGTGTAATAAATGCAGCTTTATCAACATTGTTATTCGTTATTATCTTAAATCACAAAGCTCGTCTTGTTACGCGTATTAGTATTACAACTGTCAGTAAAAAAAACGTATGGTGTTGTTGATAGTCCTCCGTGAAATGTTGCAGAAGGAAGTATTGCCAATTAAACAGAGACACGATTTCTTCTCCGTGATCATATTTGCTCCCGATCGATAAAATCCAATGAGAGAAGAAAGGTTTACTTTCAGTATTTGATCAGACCACGGAATTAGATGATCTAAGTCCGTGATCAGACGATGTTATTGTGTACCTGCAGTGTGATACTTTTCCAATGAGGAAAATACAGGACGGGTATGCGACAAACATCAACAATAAATCTTCGAGCTGTACCAACGAAAGAAAACGCATCCGTTGTCCGGGTTGCATCCTCTTACCCATCATTACGTATTCGTTGTTTATGGTAAGTTTAACACATGAACACGTCTTCATGCTGTAAATATGCAAAATTTAGGGGACTTGACGCACGATAAAATGATACAATGGCCAGACCAGAAGCTAATCACGTGTTCTATTAAGAACCAAGCGGAGTGTAAAATAGTAATCGCGTGCTTTCCTTTATGCGGCGTAAACGTTTCAACCAATGTCTTCCTAACTGAGCAGAACACCCTTATCCTGTTCATTTGGGGAAGCGTGGCACGATTTGCATTTACTTCATTACTAAAATGGATTATTTACACAAATGTTAGAAATGTAGTGTGGACTATCCAGCCAATCTGTCAAACTAACCGTTATTATATATACGTTCAACTTGGAACTGACAACTAAGCCGTTCTAGATAGACACCGATTATGTGAATACAAATTATACAACCTACTTTATACCTCAAACAGAACGGGATCAAAATACTCTCCTCAAGGTAATAAAAATGTGATCATATTGCCCACAAAGGTACATTGTCCTCACATGATAATTTTACCCTCAACATTACTATGTCATCCTCACAAGATAATATTACCTCATCATCTGACACCATATCACCCTCACACGACTAGAACTGTTAGCCAAAGGCTAACTAATACCCCCGCTGCTATATAAACCAGAACTGTAAGCTAAAGGCTTACTATGGCAAAGCATTGTAAAGGAATCCATATAGTCTCCAACCAGTAATTAATTCTTTATTGACTGAGCTGTACACTTGTTTAAGTACATGTATACTGGTCACTGACATACTTCCTGTACTCCCTCCCCATGCTGAAACATACTTACATACAAAATCGTGTTAGCCCAGATGAACCAGTTTTGCTAAAATTGTCCTATTGTAGTTGAGGAAAAGATTTTTAACAAAAGGCCATAACTCCTTAAAAAGGATCAAAATGGAAAAAATACTAGCCTGATGCACAACATCAGGGGGTAATTACAATATCTGTAAACTTTCATTGAAATCGGCCCAGTAGTTTATGAGGCAGACAAAGGTTTATTCAACAAAGTGCCATAACTCCTTTTAAAAGGGTTGGAATGAAAAATTACTTCTTGGATGCACAACGTCAGGGGGCAGTTACCATATCTGTAAAACGTTTTTGAAATTGGCCCAATAGATTAGGAAAAGTTGTCAAGACAAGAATTTTTCAACAAAGGGCCATTACTCCATAAAAAAGGGTTGAAAAAAATATATACTTGGATGCGGGCAAAGTTATCATATCTGAAAAGTTAAGTTGTAATTGGCCGCATAGTCTTTGAGTTGTCAGGACAATAATTTTACAAAAAAGGGCCATAACTCCATAAAAAAAGGGTTGGAATTTTTTTTTCCTGAATGCACAAAATAAGGGGGTAGTTATCATATGAAAACTTTCATTGAAATTGGCCCAGAAGTTTTGGAGAAGTTGTGTGCGAAAGCGTTTTTCAACAAAGGGTCATAACTCCGTAAAAAAGGGTTAGAATGAAAAAATAATACCTGGTGGTAGTTATCATATCTTGAAAGTTTTGTTGAAATCAGTCCACTACTTTAGGAGTTGTCCGGACAAAAAAAATCTACGGACGGACAGACAGACAAGCTGATTCCAGTATACCCCCCCCCTAACTTTGTTGTGAGGGGTACAATAAATTTACCCTCAACATCACTATGTCACCCTCACAAGATAATATTACCCTCAACATCACCATGTCACCCTAACACGACAATTTTACACTCAACATCACCGTGTCACCGTCACAAGATAATATCATCCTCAACGTCACTATCGATCACCCTAACAAGATAATATCACCCTCAACATCACTATGTCACTGTCACAAGATAATATTAACCTCAATGTCACTATCACAAGATAATATTACCCTCAACATCACCATATTACCCTCAAAAGATCATATTTTGGCCTCATTGTCTGATTTGACATTATATCGCCCGCTCAGATCATTTAACAATCAACTAAATGTGGCCCTCAAACAATCATCTTACACTAATAACATCATAACAGCTACCAACTTCACAGTCTGAAGGCATAATCACATCGGCATGACAAGATCATTATGCCCTCAATGTCATAGCAAGATCATGTCTGATCCTCAAGGTCATTATATAAACCTCACATATAGCAAGGTCAATAATTTTTCGCTACCTCCACAGATCATATTGATTTCAAGGCCATGTGGTGGAAAACATTTCATATGTCCCTGCATGAACTCCTAATGAACGTGTTGTTTTACTTATTGAAACTCTAGGGATATCCTTTTATATTTATGTATATTTTGTGTATTACATGTACCTAAATGAGAAAATGTATAACAAAAGGAAATGACTTATACATTAATGCCAGTTTTCCCATGAGTTCGACAGTTTATTTAAGGTGAATTCGCAATACAGAATTGTAATGATGTTTAATGAATCAAATTAATTAAATTTCATTCATTCTTTCATTATCTTTCATTCCAGATGCTACAGAAGGAATGATCCTCGGATCCTTAGGGACACTACAGGGGCTGCATCAATATCGGGAGTCGCTAAACACACTGTAATACATCATATTTGAACACTGCTGGTCTGAGTAAATATAAACATGAGGAATTAATTGTTCTGTAAACGTTAGAGGCCATGTCTGTGGTACTCTATTATTGCCATATTTCAGGAGAGGTCATTGACACTAGTCCTAGGAGTGTTGTTGGTTGTCCTGGACTGTGAATGATTGACTATTAGATACACTTGTATCCTATGTCACCTGCCCCAATGCCAGTCATGTTTGATATACATTAGCATTGTTACCCGTCACGGACCATGAATTTTGGAATGTTTCATACCTCTAGTATGGTATATTGTCATATTATATCACCTGCCTCGTTACTAGTCATATTTGGTGATATTAAGGCACATACAAATTGCTGCTGATGAATAATAGTATTTTAATGTTCCATGTTATGAATTGTACACTTATTCTAAATATTTCATTATCACAAAGTATAAATCACTACAGACCATACAATGTTTCTCCTGCCAATAAGGACCAAGACATTCCAGGGCCCCCGCATGACTTGCATCATGACAGCAGAGACGTTCGACGTGATCCATTTCACCAAGAACTCTTACCAAGGGACACGACTCTCGGGATCCCTGTACCATCGAACGGTGATATCTACGTTTCATCGGATGGCGTACCGCCTGATGATGGCACTGATGTCGATGTTGTTGTTCATGGTTATGTGTGTAATATTTGCTGTCAGTTACGTTTCCATTCACATGTTCTTGAGGTTTCAGATCTCGTTCACAGTGATTCTTGTGAATGTACGGCGACAACCCATCAACTTTCGCTATGCAAATAACTACTCGCTACTGTTTCTCCACATTCTGTTGATGTGTATTGGTGGTTTTGGATACATATGTCTTATTTATGTCGATATTTGATTGATAATATTTATTTGTATTTTTTGTTTAGGTACATTAAATTATTCATTTTGTTGAAAAGTTTATTCATTGTTGTCTGTTAACCTATAACTTACCATTAAAGATTAACATTCTATATTTAGCCAAAGATGTATAAAGGCCTTGTTTGATTTGGGTCAATGTTTTGCTGAGTTTTACCTGGTAAATGCAAGTTAAAACCTAGCTGCTTCAGTAAAATGTATGATTTTCTAAGGTGAGCTTGTGCCATGGTGCGGTGACCGTCGTCCGCCGTCGTGTAGCTCCCTGGGGGCAAAGGAGCATGGCCCAATAGGGGAAATTGAGGTAAAACCATTAAAATCCATCTTCTACCGTAGGATTAAGGGATTTTGTCCTAATTTGGTCTAGAATATCCTTAAGCCAAGGGGACTCAATTTTGTATAAACGGTGGGTGTGGCTTCCCTGGGGGCAGAGGGATTGGGCCCAATAGGAGAAATATAGGTAAAACCTTTAAAATTCTTCTTCTACCATAGGGATTTAATCCCAATTTGGTCCAGAGCATCCTTGAGCTAGATAAAATATTCTTAGCCTGATGCATAGTTCTGAAGAAAGAGTTCTTTGCAGTTTTCAACAGTTTGACTTCTGTGACTTTGAATATAGGTCAAGCTCATTTCTTTTCTCAAACTTTAGAGCATTTATTGCCAGCAAGCTATTGGCTATATATCAATTAAGGTTCACCTCAAGGTGTTTCAGAAAAAGGTTTGTGGGTGTTTAACAGATTTGAATAACCCCCGTGGTCTTGTGTAAATATCAAGGTCAATATTTTGCATCTTTGTAGCATTCCATGTTTACAAGTTACTTGCCAAATACCCTAACTTTAGGCCTTTTGTTTTTCCGACAGAGGATATCTTGAATGTTTAAATATCAAAACATTGAATATTTAATATTTAAAGTGCCCAATTATAGACAGATTTTCTTTCCTTCACAAACTTTGTTGTACATATACCAAGGATTTGGTTTGTTGGTGTTTTACATCCTTAACAGCTAAGGTAATTTAAGGACATGCAAAGTTTTGGTGGTGGAGGAAAGCCAGAGATCCCGAAGAAAAACCACCAACCTACGACCAGTACCTGGCAACTGCCCCACGTAGGTCTCCAACTCGCGACCCAGTTGTGAAGGGCTGGTGGTAAAATATCAAATCATTGAATGGTCGGGTTGTTACAAATAGATTTATATAGATGCGTCAAATTTCATCACATTCTCTCTCCCCCCCCCCCCTATTGACCAGCTCCCCTTTTTATCACATATCCGAATCATTATCCAGACACACTTCTTACCAAATTTTGCTGTGGTTTTTGAGATGAGAAGGTTCAAAGAAAAAGTTCATGCATGGACGACAAATGATTTTTGAGTAGAAAAGGTTTAAAGAAAAAGATGGAAGACAAAAGTAATGGATTGCAATAGCTTACTTGCCCCTTGGGCCAGATGAGCAAAATATATTAAAGCCCTAAGACTGTTCTTTTTCCCCCAAGATAAGTGGGACCTTATGCAAGTGAATTAGTAATGTTAGCAAAAATGAGCATAAAGAAAATCATAATTATTGTATATTGATCAGCATTTATTGATATAAATACCTGTACAAGATATTAACTTTTGATCAATCCTTAAATTTCATATACATGTATGAACAAAAACAATAAACGAGACTAGTAAAATAATGTTGTTTTTTCCAAAAGAAAGAAATGAAAACAAATAAAATTTATGGAATCACAGACATGTTTAGCACAAACACACAGGTAACAAAGTAAACAATACAAATCCTCTTGAGTATACAACAGTCTTTCAGAGAGCACATATACCTTAAGCTTGCATCTTGTCAGCAGTCTCAAACGTCACTGTACCTAAAACGGGACAGTACCCAAAACGGGACACTTGTTGAAAAACGGCCCAGGAAATTGTCATGCAATGTAAGAAGTACTTTTATGTATGCATTTTTCACTGGATGATACTTTGATGACAATTTAACTGTATATATATAAGCTTTATTGGCTGCTGATTTTCATTACATGGACTATTTAAATGTAAGAATAATTACCAAAACAAAACTTTCGTGATTTACGTGTCGTGTGACACTATTTATTTGGATATCATTTTCAAAAGTCTATTTTATCAAAATTAATGCTAGTTTGGAGCAGAAATTTAATCAGAACCCCCTTTGTTTCTTAAATATTTGAAAAATGTATAATTTTCTGCTGATATTGATTGTTTATCCCCAAATATTAGCCAATATACCAAAGTGTCTCTTTTAGGGTACAGTAACACCTGTTCAAGGGCCTACGTGACCCTGTTAGTATTTGGCGTATCTCTTTATAGAACAATGCTCCGGAAATACCAACTTGTGATAGAAATGAAAAGTGGGATGGTATGTTTTGATGAAAAATGAACAAACTTTTAGAATTGATAGGATGGTATAAAGTACATGCATCGATAGATATCTAGAAAGCTACAGTGATGTTAGTTACTTACTTACAAAGGTGAAGCAAACGTTTGGCTCAAACAAACTATACTGTCCAATGCTGATATTATATCAAATAATGCTTATGATAAACTTACTAGGATCACATGGACTTTATTTTAACTTGTCTTGTTTGAAATAATGCTTAAAAAAGAGGCCTAAGAGACATTTACTCATCTATTTGTAATTTCCATTTAATTTCCAACCCAACCCAACCAAACACCCATCCCAACCCAACCAAAAACCCATCCCAACCCAACCAATCCTCGCAATGAGAATTTGAAGCACACGATGCAACCTTATTTAAAAAATTCATGCTATTGACACAGCGATCTGCTTATGTATTTAAAATCCCATTATTCATTTTGGACTATAGTAGTCTTTTAAAGGAAAAGTTGATGATGGATGGGTGGCCAATGATGCACTAAGGGATAAGCTTTACTAGCACTTAAATTTGTGTCAGGTGAACAAACCGCAAAATAACAACCACACAACGCATCAATATTGCAGCATCCTGAAAATAAAACAATAAAGACAACTTTTATGCACCGTAAAACGACTTGCATCCTAAAAGAGATCTATAATTGCATGATCAGCATCATTCTACCAGCACCATGTAGTCTTTGAGAGTGGAAGGGATGGGAAGTAGATTCACTTTGGTGTAGAGTTTTCCCCGGAGCTCCGGGGCCTCACGAAGCGCAGTCCTACACATCAGTTTCAGAGGCTGAACTCTGCAGGCCAGTGAAGAGAGATACTGATGGAAATGGGTGTGGTCCTCATCCTCCTTTGGAACACAGTCTCTGAGTGCTAAGACCCCACCTACAGATAACACTGGAGCCAGGAGTTCTGCTAACTGTGTAAACATGGGCCCACTGGAAACTTTACATGCATACCGCACATATCGGTCATGTTGTCTGTTTTTCCTGTTAAACGTGGATCCAGCCTTGATTAAAGTCTGCACAAGTTGTAGGCCTTTGTCTGACAATGGCTTTTTTCGGTGAAGGAAATGATTCAGCTCGTAACACATTGCCATTTTACCTAGAAATGCACAAAATCATTTTTACTTAACTCGTTCTGTTAGGGCAAGCACCTCTATAAGTAAGGTAAACTTTTGCTCAATCTTGTTGCAATTAAGGGCAATCAAATATGTTTAGGGCAGGAACATGATTTATCGACTGTACTTGAGTTATTTATTTTTGTGTGAATCACCCGGTATAAAAGTGTTCTAGTGATTAATCAAAATTCACAATCTACCTTTTTACATGACAATAAGGAATCTGAGGCATCATTGAATCACACTGATTGCTTTTAAATCTCAGCGAAATCAGGTCATTATAACTTGCTAAATATTCCTAAACAGATTTTCAAAACTGTTGTCACATTCCATTTCAAATCAGCTCTGAAACTAGAGAAACATGCTCACAAAGATATAGCCTGACCGCCTCATTTAATCTGGGTATTCAAACTATACTTGCAGGAGGTGTCATACCCTAATCACAAATCCCTTCCTTCATAACTCCAGGATAAATAGTTGAATCGCAAGTTCTTTTCTTTAGCACATCTGTTATACAATATTCTTTCACTCTGTAAAGTTACAAAACAATCCAACAGACAGGCCAGGAGGACAGTTCAGGAGGAGTTGGGCTTGATGTTTGTGGACAGACGGATAGACAGTGATTCACCCCCCCCCCCCCCCCCCCCCCCCCCAACTTTGTTTACAGGGAGGGTTGGGGATAATAAAAAAAACCAATTAGTTAGGGTCATGAACTTATCGTTTCCACACAAAAAATCAGGTTTATATACTTATTATTTTCATTACATTTCAGTGAAATCAGCTCATAAGAATTTTTTAATTGTAAGTTCAAAATTTAATAGATTTTCAAGATGGTGTGTATGACGGTCATATTGGACTTCAAATCAGATCCAAAATAAAATTTAGCAAAAATTTCATTAATTTGTTTTAGTAGAACTTGAGCTCCCAAAATAACAAGAATTATTCTTGAAGGTTTACCAATAAAAACATCATTCATTTCATTAAATTTCAGTGAAATTAGCTCAGTAAAAAACGGAGATCAAGTTCAAAATATATTTTAAAGACACAGAAATATTGTTTGTAGATGTAGATAAAATGTATGTTCATGATCATGTATGTAGATATAAACATTAACCAGTTTGTACCTGTTTTGTCCTCTACATTCGCTGACAAACCTCGGTACAGCAGCTGGAGTGCTATCTCATTCCTCAGTGTCATGTCTTGTTTGAGGTTACCACAGATACAGTGTAGGGCTGAAACATGTTAACGGTCATCGATCATGCTCTGTAATTTCATGAAATCCTCACCCAGATACAATGTATATAAAAGCTACAGGTATTGCCTAATTGGTTGGATTGAATTCACAGCTAGGATTAATGCAAAACTAACAAATGTAAACAATAAAGACTATGTTTGTTTTGAACACAAACAGGAACTGAAAGCTCACTTTCGAAAACGTCTGTTTCGTTTGTCAAGCGAAGTGTGCGAATGACTGGTGTCTCGACTCTAAACCACAGAAAACAACTCACTAAGCCACAAAGAGCTGAATCAAGTTAAGTCAGCTGTCATAGAGACATTTCACCCAATTGCACTCTAATACTGCAGGCAGTCAGGGGGATCGGTAACATGTTTAGCCATTCTGCCCCTTCCGCTTCTTATTCCAAACAATTTCTGTAAATTACTCAAAAGACAAGCAGTGATTTTTGTAGAAATTTTCCAGGCAAGTTCTGAAAATCTCTTGCAAAATTTTGATGAGACCTATTACTGAAAGGTAAACATATAGTGGGTCCTTCGAAAGTTGGTGAGTCCTACCAAGAAAGCATGAGTTAAGGACTCACATTTCCGAGTCCCAAAAATCACTGGTTAAAACTAATTAACATTGAAGTTTCTCCATGATGTGTCTAGGTCATCGATGCAGGTGTAAGATGTTAACATTGTATTATGATGTGTGACGGACACCCTTGAAAATGACTTTACCAGTTTAATGCATGTTAGAGATCATGACATAGGAGGCACAGGTCAGGGCCATGCATCTGTCTAAACTGACCACTGTCTGGTCTACCTGGCTGACCGTGTCTGGTCCTGGTCATTCCGTCAAGGAAGGGGAAAGTACGTAGACCCCTAAAAGACACCTGGTGTGGGGCAGAGCAGATAGAAACCATCCAATTAACTATATAGCTTAGTTACATGTAGTATAATGAACAATTGAAATTACCAGTATGTCCTTCCTGATCCCTGAGTGAAATGTTACAGTTGTGGTCAAGAAGATATTGGACAATGGACAGAGCTTCAGGACAGTCACTGCTGCATGTCTCCATCAAGGGTGTATGTCCTAAAAATAGGTCGAACATGATTTTAAAAATCATGGTTTTTACAACTGCACTAAAGATTACTGCACTCAAATAACAATCTTACAACTGCGCTAAAATTACTATCTGGGAAACTTAATGTTATAGAAAATCAGTTTGAGATGCAAAACATGAAACTTTATAAAACAATTTAATTGAATCCTTCTAGAATTCTAATTACATAAACTGAAAGTATTAATGTTGGACAAATATCCAGATATAGGTCAGGTTGTGCAGTGGATACAGTGCACTCTCATTTTATTTTTATCAAGACGGACAGGGTTTGATTTCCTAATCAGATGTGAAAAAGTATTATGTCAACTGCCAGATCATGTGAATTTTCTCCTGTACTTTGGTTTCCTCCCATATTAAGACCCTCTATCTGTGCTCTTCTATATATCTGAGCCAACAAAAGTGATTAATATAAGTTGGAAAAAACTTGTGTCATGAAGTTTAAAGCACACAAAAAAGTTCTGTGTGTTGGAATTGGGTTTTAAACATTACCCGCATTGTCTTGTACATCAACAGCCGCCCCGGTCTCCAGCAGGACTTGGACAGTGGAGGCTGAGGTGTGACAGGCGATGTGTAAGGGTGTCTGTCCAAACCTGTCCACGGAGTCAAGAGACGTCCCAAAGTATACCAGGACCTGAAGTATGTCTTTCACAGCTGTAACAGTGAGCAGAGGAAGTGACATTATAACATACTATCATATTTGCCATAAGTAATAACAAGGGACGCACATTACAGATTAGCTAAGGAGGCACTTACAGTATTGAGATGAAAAAAAGCATGGGTTGTAGTTGCATTGCCAGGGAAAATTCCAAAACTGTTTTCTTTTTTCCTAGAACTTTAAAATAAAGTCCTGTCATATTGAGTGTTTGATGTAATGTGTACAGAGTAATACATTTTGAATGGAAGGTGTTCGGGAAATAGCTAGGGCACTTATGTATGTCATTCAGTAAGTGCTGTAAAAGGTGGAGCTTGAGGGACATGTATAAGGGGAGGGGCACAATTATGGTGAATATGGTACCTAAACATTATCCATCTTTTCAAAAAGATGTAATCTCTCATTACAATCGATCTTGTATCAAAATCTCTTATTACTCTTAATTCTCCTCATCTGGTTTTTCTTACAATACAAATTTGAAAATGACAAGACATAACTTACAGGTTGTACAGCAAAAAGGATAAGAGGAAAAAATATTAATATTTTAAAACTTAGTGTAGTATCAATTTTTTTCATTTTTTCCCCCCAAATCAGTTTCAAATTAAGTTATGTTCATGATGAAAACATGCCTATGCCAGTATAGCTATATATGCACACCCAGGTTACCAGAGGTTTGTTTTAGTCCAGATACAATGTGGAGAGGTGTGCTGCCGGTGTCGTTGAAGAAGTTTGGATCAACACCTCGAGTCATAAGGTGTTTGAATTTGTTGTTGTCTCTAGTTTTTATGGCTTCTAACATCTGATATTGGTCCTCAGTTATCCTGCATCTTAACACAAATTCCTGGTCCCGTTTCACATCCTAAACAAAGATCACAAGAAATTTATTTCAGAGAATGTCATAATCTACTCAACAACATAGAGAAACAGATGCATGCTTGAAACAAATTATGTGCCTTTTCATTATATTCTGTAGTGTAATAAATGTGGTGTAATAAATGAGCGTTACATGCTATAAAGTGTTATAATGTTTATAACGTGTAGTTTTTTTCATAGCACTAAATGTTATGATTTAAAGTTCGTTCATTTATTCATCTCTGTCAAAAGTCTCTTGACTTTACATTTAATTTTATATACCAGTAACATATGCTACCAGGACATTTTACTTTGATTTATGTGGTTTCACATAGCCATGACCATCTTCATTTGAAGCAGGCCTCATGATCACCACAGCTATTTAAAAAGAAAGGGTCCACATGACCCAGGTATATTAGATAATTTGTCATTATTATTTGTCATTATGGAACCCCCCCCCCCCTCCCCCCTTGTTTTGAAGTCAGTTGTTAGCTAGTGAAAGAAAAATTATGCTCTGCATGACCAAGCTAAGTATATCAATGGACTTCAAATAATGTCATTTTGTAGCATTCATTTTGGTCGCAAAAGAGATTGACATGTTATATTTATAAGTCTACACAGGTACTAGTCTCGTCTGTCAATACACCTATACTATAACCATATCATAGGTGTATTGACAGACGAGGTAATTACCTGTGATAATTCCGACAAACTGGTGTCTATTTGAATATGACTTTTCATGGGGTTGGGATTTTGAGTGAATGCAGCATCTTATATAGGGGGCTTAAAACACAATCTTGTCAACATCTCAAGAGACAAGTTCAATTCTGGATGTGCAAGCTGTTTGATTATGATCGTTTCACACAAAACTATACAATAGGTCAATCAAAAGGCAGTCAATGTGCGGTATCGCATGTACTGTACATTACATTACAGACTAATTACAGAGTTAAGAAGTAAACGAATACATGACAAGTTATCTCCCCTTGTATACTCAGAAATTAATCATATACGGCCGATATAGAGCGAACAATATTTTAATGACCATATATTCTAAATATTTATGCGTAAATACATTTACCAGTGATATGTCTAACAAACATACAATGTATAAGTACATTTAAATGCACATTGAAAAGTGCCGGATTGCACAAGAAGAACTAAAAAGTGCACGAGTTTTCAATATTATGACGTTATCATTTCTCAATCCTGATGGTTTAAAAATCGTTCAAATGAAATTCATTAAACAATTATCATTGTTCAGTTCAGCTTAGTATAATTTTGATTAAAATACCTTGATTTCTTCCTTGAGGTCCCGTAAAAATGACATAATGATCCAGCGAGCACCTGTCTCGGCGTTAGTTTCATGCTTTCCACTTCATCCTAAGCCGAATTGAATCAAAGAGCTTAAGAGAGGCTGATCGGCACTCCTAATTGAAAGAGCAATGCAGGGGTAATCGGTGTTTCAATCCAGCGTATATTCCAATAAAACCTACTATTTCATTTCGTTTATATAATTTGTAACTTTTTGATGAATTGTAAGTATCTCATTAAAGTTGAATGCATTACAGAAGGGTTTAAACAGACCCAAACTATAACTTATCGACTACTTGTCTCTAACTGTACAGAAATTAATGACGTCATGGACATATTCCACACATGCCAGTTTGTGTACACGGTATCCCCCAACAAACGGGTAGCTGACAGCGGTAAGGGATTAACTAAGTAAGCGTAAGTAATCTTTACTCTTGCTCGGTGCTACTGGGCTGTGTCGTGCAGTATGTTTTAGGTCCACACGCTACACTGCATCACGACACTTCTTTCCAACTATTTATAATATATTTTACAGTGATGCTGATGATGCTGACATATATACATGTGTGAGAGCGATTGCTCATGTACAATGTAAAACATCATTACGACATAACCTCTCCTCTTTCTTTTATTAAATACAAGTATTGGCCGTAAGTGTGAACCATTGGTTCATGAACTCCATCTATAATGTTCTGCATTAAAATTAATTTTCACATAATTATGATAAAACACGTTCTATGTAGTATATATATATATATCAAATGATATGTAATTAGGAGATACAAGTGAAGATAGGAAATAAGGCACATTTTTGCAACACGATATAATAAACATTAAAACAGTATTTCTTTTAAATAAATTGTTTGCTTATCATGTACATGTATAATAAATTAATTGCTTTATTTGAATTAGCTATATATAGTCAACCGTTGAGATATTACTCTGTACAGACACTGCAAATTTGTTTTTTAAAATCCCAGATAAAGCTGTCAATAAACCTTGTTGTGCATATTAGTCAGTTTCCTTCAATTTTATTTTAAAAATGTACACTAGTTGTATTATTTGATAATCTATAAATAGATTTATTTTATCTAATCATAATCCCTGTATAAATAAAGCGCTGTATTATAGGCCTATTGGGTTGATAATTTATTTATAGTTGTCTGTAATCACACCCTTACCACTATCATGTGTTTGTCAAAGTGACATTGTTTACTCTTGACTCATTTAACGACAACATTGGTGTCACTTGTCTATTCATAACTGTAACTAATTATATATATAATGGAGTCGGGATTTTAACGACGGAATATGTGTATGACAGTGTGGTGGCTGATATTATACTTGCCAACTTTTTGAAATTTCCATGGGGAGATTTGGCATGCTCAAAATTAAAAGCGTTAATAAGATGTGTATAGCATGTACACCCTAGGGAAAAACAGTACTTTTCAATGACATCTTTTGAGCTGTTCTTTCAGATCTATGAAATCATCAGTTTTTAGAAAATAGAAGTAGTTCAGCAAATTTACTGCTTGAAAATGCTCAATTTTAGAGTCCAAATTCGGGAGTCTCCCTCCAAAATACACTGTAGGGAGAGTTGGCAGGTATGTGATAAATAGGTAGGTACTGATTTTTCTTGCTTGGTGAAAAAATTAAAGAACTGATTAATAATTTAAGGAACATGGTCACTGTTGTAACCTGGAAAATGTCAGATTCAAACCTTGAGCTCAATCTTCCAGATTTTATATATATATATACATATCTAGAGGGTTATCCGTTTGCACAGGACACTAAGACTACAATAAGACATTACTTACAAATGGTCAATCATTGACACCTGCTGTGAGTATTATGTAATAAATGCAACAGCTGTCAGGGACAGCCTTCCTGAAAATTCCCTTAACAACATTTGTTGTTGACAGTGCTGTGCTTTATTATCAAACATTTCCTATTGCATTTCTGGTAAGTCTTCATTACCATAAATGTTCAATCTTGACAGTTCTGTTTTAATAGCAGTGGCCCTAAGCCTTTCACCTTTGAAAAGCTACATCCAGAATGATAAGGATGTGTCCTCCTCTAGGGCAACCAAATATAATATCTAATTTGTGAAATTACTTTTTCTGAAGTTAGCATAGGACAGAATTATATATTAAGTAAGAATGGCCTTGACCTTTGACAGACTATTACCAAATCATTCATTTTTATCTGTCTTAGGTCAGCCCTCATACTTAGTCTTAAGTTTAGTGTGACTTTTTGTTCTGAAGGTGGGATTTGGACTGTAACAGTCTATTTTGTTAATTACAATGACCTTGACCTTTGACAAATCATACCCAAAATGAATCGGGTTCCTTCAGTTCCCTAGGACAACACATATACCAAGTTTGAGCTTAATGTCTTACAATTTGTTCCGAATGCTAAAACATGCTGAAGTCATTTGCTCTGAAGTAGCATCTGCACAGGTGATTTGTTCTTTGTGAAATTCTATATTTAGACTTAGAGATCTGATAGACCTATCCCAAAATCAATAGGGTTTTACATCTTTCTTAAAAAGCAGACAAACAAGTCTAAAGTTTGTGCAGATATTTGTTCTGAGGTTAGGATCCAGACAAAAACAATATTTTAGTAATTGTGATCTTCACCTGCAATGAATCACATTCAAAATCAGTAAGAGTCTCCCTCTTTCCTTGGGCAACCAATGGCCATATACCAAATTTGAACTTTGTGCAATCATTCATTCCGAAGTGAGAATCTGAACAAGAAACATAAATGACAGACAGATGCAGACACATAAAATGATAAATTTGTCATGGGGATTAAAAAACCTGAATAATGATGAACCGATTGTTGAACTTAGAACCTTCAAACTTGTAATTTTACTGTATAGGGATGAGGATCAAGGTCGAAAACTCAAAAGTGGTTGTTGTTTTCTATGCAATTCTGGATTGAATTTGGGGGGAAAAAATGACATGTTACAGATTTTCTTCATTGGAATGACAAACTTTAACTCAACTATTGATTGAAATTTAAATGTATATGTAGCTATTGTTGATGTAAGCATGGTCCTTGACTTTTACCCATATTCCTTTGGGATAGGAGAAGAGGGACATGATATATAAGTGTTCCAGATTTTTTTTTACAACAGACTCCAGCTGTTATATTTAAAGGTGCAGTAAAAAAGCCCTAAAGAAAAGTCCATCATTTTCGATTATTAATTAAACAATTCCGATATCTCACAAAAACGAATTTAAAAAGCCCCAATGGGTTCTGTCCTGAACATCAAAGTAACATAATTGAGGTTTACTTTTTTTTTTCTGCAGACTGTTGAAGTGTTCTTGCTGTAGTGATTTGTTGACCAGTTTTTGACTGACGACTGCAGTGTTAATAGCTTGCCTACATACAATCTACCTTCCTTTTATACCTGAATGACATACCGGTATACTATGTCATCAGAGACCATTAGCTCTGCAAGTCTGTAGGTCTCTCTGCTTTGTTTGCCAAGAGCAAAATGATTTTTAGAATTTGCTTGAATTTTAAAAATATCAATTACTTAGCAACCTGGTTACCTAAAGCATAGAAAGCTATGAGATCAAAGTGCAGGCATCAACTGGATGTTTATAGATTACCGGAAAAATGATAATGGAAAACATTTTGTATCGCATAGAAAAATCTAAAATTGAACAAGAATGGGAGTTTAAAATGAAAAAATGATCAGGCAACTTATTTGAAGATAACGGAATACAGGATAATGTCTGACATTTGGCCAAGATTAAACATGTTTAAAATGTGAGTAAGTTGTCAATAGTCAGAGTGTATCAGTAGATATGACCATGTTGTCCAAGTTTGAGATACATCATGTATTTAACTGTGTGTATATATGAATATTTGTGATTATGCCATTTTCAATAGCTCCTAATATCTTAGTTACTGCCTTACTGGCCTCCAGTCCACCATTGTCCCAGATCAAATAGGTTGTTTAGTTAGTGACCTCCTGTCCACCATTGTCCCAGATCAAATAGGATGTTTAGTTAATGACCTCCTGTCTACCATTGTCCCAGATCAAATAGTTTGCTTAGTTACTGACCTCCTGTCTACCATTGTCCCAGATCAAATAGTTTGTTTAGTTACTGACCTCCTGTCTACCATTGTCCCCGATCAAATAGGTTGTTTAGTTACTGACCTCCTGTCAACCATTGTCCCAGATCAAATAGGTTGTTTAGTGACTGAAATCCTGTCCAACATTGTCCCAGGTCAAATAGGTTGTTTACAATGTAGTTACTGGCCTTCTGTCCACCATTGTCCCAGATCAAATATGTTGTTTGGTTACTGACCTCCCGACCACCATTGTCACAGATCAAATAGGTTGTTTAGTTACTAGCCTCCTGTCTACCATTGTCCCAGATCAAATGGTTGTTTAGTTACTGGCCTCCTGTCTACCATTGTCCAATATCAAATAGGTTGTTTAGTTAATGGCCTCGTGTCTACCATTGTCCCAGATCAAATAGGTTGTTTAGTTAGTGACCTCCTGTCCACCATTGTCCCAGATCAAATAGGTTGTTTGGTGACTGAAATCCTGTCCACCATTGTCCCAGGTCAAATAGGTTGTTTAGTTACTGACCTCCTGTCCACCATTCTCCCAGATCAAATAGGTTGTTTAGTGACTGAAATCCTGTCCAACATTGTCCCAGGTCAAATAGGTTGTTTACAATGTAGTTACTGGCCTTCTGTCCACCATTGTCCCAGATCAAATATGTTGTTTGGTTACTGACCTCCCGACCACCATTGTCACAGATCAAATAGGTTGTTTAGTTACTGGCCTCCTGTCTACCAATGTCCCAGATCAAATAGGTTGTTTAGTTACCGGCCTTTTGTCCATCATTATCTAAGATCATATAGGTTGTTTAGTTACTGACCTCCTGTCTACCATTGTCCCAGATCAAATAGTTTGTTTAGTTACTGACCTCCTGTCTACCATTGTCCCAGATCAAATAGGATGTTTAGTTAATGACCTCCTGTCTACCATTGTCCCAGATCAAATAGGGTGTTTAGTTACTGACCTCCTGTCCACCATTGTCCCATATCAAATAGGTTGTTTAGTTACTAGCCTCCTGTCTACCATTGTCCCAGATCAAATGGTTGTTTAGTTACTGGCCTCCTGTCTACCATTGTCCCAGATCAAATGGATGTTTAGTTACTGGCCTCCTGTCTACCATTGTCCCAGATCAGATAGGTTGTTTAGTTACTGACCTCCAGCTGTCCACCATTGTCCCAGATCAAATAGGTTGTTTAGTTAGTGACCTCCTGTCCACCATTGTCCCAGATCAAATAGGATGTTTAGTTAATGACCTCCTGTCTACCATTGTCCCAGATCAAATAGTTTGTTTAGTTACTGACCTCCTGTCCACCATTGTCACAGATCA